ACAAGGAAGCGGCATCTAAAAAAGCCCGTTCCCTGAAGGTCTGGATATCAACATGTGGTACCCAAAGAACCGCTGTGGTATGTGATGGTTGCAGTATGACAAGATTGTATGGGTATTTCTGAATCTGAAGAACTTATGGTCACCCAGGTACTACTAATACATGAGCTATTGTCTAAACTCCTAGTATCCCCCTTAATACACCCTATAGTATTCCCCTATATAATCCCCTATATAACCCCCCTCTAAGGAGTTTAGAAGGTAGTTCACATGGGCATAGAGTATCTGGCTTCCGTGCCCGTAGACAGATCCCTCCAGGTGGCATCCCACGCCCCAGATTCCTGGCCCTAAACTTGAAGCCTTAAACCCTAAACTTGTGATCTGGTATTGGTAGTATTTTCTAGGAAACATACCTTGGGATAGAAAATATCAAATACCAAGTCATAACCCTAAAGCCCTACACCTGAAACCCTGCAAAGAGCTCCAAACCCTTGTGGTTGTGAGAGGCTTAGGCCCAATTTGGGAGGATGAGCAGTGTACCCGCCTAAGCCCCATACCCGAAACCCTCAACTCTAAACCCGAAACCTTAAACCCTAAACCCTGGGAAACTTAGGCGCAACTTGGGAGGATGAGCAATGTACCCACCATCAAGGATGGCGCCTTCGCCGACTTTTCGCGCGAGGTGCTCAAGGAGTCCTGGGGCCACGGGGACTTCCTCATAGTGGCCAGGCAAGTTTCAGATGTTAAGGGATTAGGGTTTAAGCTTTAGGGATTAGGTTTTAAGGTTTAGGGTTTAGGGTTCTGCTGGTTTGCTTGGAGTTTCAAGGTTTCGGGATGTGGGGCTTGGAGCCACAATGTTTATCTCGTGTTCCACCTAAGCCCAGAAATATTCAATCCAGGGATGCTTCCCCTGGTCGATTGATTTCACTAACCCTTACCCCCTAAACCCCAAACCCTAGACCTTGAACTGCAGTCCATCCTTTGTTCGGGGGACGAAAGCCTTACTGGGCCCACTAGGTCATTACGATCCCCTTACGACCCTACTTCGAGTTACAGGGTAGAAGTTGTAACCTGTATTTGCCCTTATGGTCCTCGTTAAGTAGATTGAATATGGAGTATATGGGGATGTTATTATAACATACCCAAAGCCATATTCTATCTATTTGAGGGGGAAAATAAGGTTTCTTCCTTTGGTTGTCATTGGGCTATAGGTACCAGGTATCATTGGGTTATAACTATCCCTCCTAGTAGATGACGGGTTGTCAGCAAGATGGTGCCTTTCAGGGTCTCAAGACAGGACCCTAAACCCTAAATCCTAAACCCTAAATCCTAAACCCCTAAATCCTAAACCTTAAGCCCTAAACCCTAAATCCTAACCCCTAAATCCTAAACCCTATGCCCGAAATTATGGTCACCTTCCAGGATCCCTAGGTTCGAATGGCCGCAGGGTTTAGGATATAGGGTCTGAAGTTCTTAAAGGGGGTTATATAGAAGACTATATAGGGTTTAGGGTTTAGGGTCCTTGCTTTCGGGCTTGTCAAGGTGGATATTCGGAGTTTAAAGTATAGCAATGTTTTGTTGATATAAAGAGCCGTGCATGATTACGGTACCCAGGTGAAGCCCATTACACATGGCTAGCTCACAGGGTGGTTAGTCTAATTGTAAACGCTAGCGCGCGCCCGCCTCGGCTGGCGGGGCTTCCCACTGTAGGAACATGTAATTATAGATATACAGGTATTTAAGTTAGGTATATAGATACAG